ATACCTTGGTACTCTACAGTCTATTTGGCGCCATACTACTGTGGTACTTTAAAGATTAAAAGAATCCGCACGTCATGCTGATTCTGATGGTACGGTACTCTATAAGTATGTATTCCAACACTGAACGTATTGACGTGCATTTTTATGTACTTACAATATATTTTTCCTTACAATTATGTGTTTAAATTTTTTTCATCTTTTTTCGACAATTAATTTCCGTGCAGTGATTGAATTACGTGCTTCATCCATCCTCGTGTACTGATTTTTATAGGGCACACTATAATCTAATGTTTACACTCTTTTGATTTAATAATCGGCATAACCTGGTACAGATTTCAGACGTGCAATACTTTGATTAGTGATGCTTCACAACGTTTAGAATATTAACATATATATATAATTTTTTATTTTATGAACAATTACAAATAACCCATCAAAAACTTTTCGCCCATATGCTGAAAATAGCAACTCAGGTTGGTGGTTACTTTAGATGATTTTAGCAGGGTAATATATATATAAGATCATTGAATATTTGCCTGTAGAAGTCTACGTTTAAATGATATTACAAATCAACACTTGTAGTAATGGTACACCTGCATAATAAACTTATTTCGATTGAAAGACCCCGAAACCATAACTCTTTAGCAAAGCCCATAAAGTACAAAGTATTACATTAAATAATTGGTTTTGAAAAAATATTTTGTTTCATATGAGAAAAAAATGTAAAGGGTTAATTGTTTTGCAAAACTGGAGAATATTAGATATTTCTTCGTGCTTTGGAAGTGTGTAGTTTAACCCTGGTTGCTCAGCACTTTAAGAAGTAATTCACATAATTCTCGACGCTTATCGCCTAGCTCTTTTTCCAGTCTATAGATTTGATTACTCGTATCAGTGGCTATTTACATATTTAATTGGTTAGTCAAAGCTACAAAAATTCCATTATAAAAAATTTTGTATGTTTTCAAAAACTAAAATACCTGATTGAAGGAGAGCATTATTTTGCTGAAATTGACCTGGTTGATATTTAATTGGTTAGTCAAAGCTGCAAAAATTCCATTATAAAACATTTGTATGTTTTCAAAAACTAAAATACCCGATTGAAGGAGAGCATTATTTTGCTGAAATTGATCTGATTGATATTTAATTGTTTAGCCAAAAATTATTGATTTCATTATAGAAATTTTATACATATTTAAAAAGTGGAAATACCAGATTGTAAATGCTGAAGGAGTGAAGAATATTGTTGATATTGTCCTGGTAGTAAAGAATTTAAAATATTATGAATCAAATTTGTATCAGAAACCGAAACCGATTGCCCAGGTGAAGAGGCACCAGCGCCAGTATCGTCATGAGGGTGAACAAACTGATCAATGTTCGGTGGAGAAATTTGATTTAACGTAGGAGTAAATTGAGAAGTGGCAACAGTCGAGGCATTATCAACAGAAATCAGAGGATAAGGTTGTCTATCTGATACAATATTTGATACAAGAATAGTAGAGTTTTGAAAAGTTTCATGTGAAATATTGTCAGTTTGTAGTGAGGTAACAACGTCGGAAGCACAGTCAATGGATTGGTAAGGTTGAAGATAAGCTTGTTCCGTTTGTCCCTCCTGCATTCTGCGGGGTAAAGACGTGATGCTTGTGTCAAGATGGACGTTCCCAGGTTCATCCGTTGCATTTTGACTCTCTTGTATAACTGGTTACAACGATATTAATAAAATATTAATGTTTGATAAAGCGTTCAAAATATTCAAATTACATACCGTCTTTTAAGAGGATACTTTTTTCTCCTTCTTCAATGATACTATCAAATTCTTGGTCCCAAAAACCTCCCTTAGCCATATGATGAGATTTTATTTCCCCTACGTATTGACGCAATGTCCGAGAATTAATTCTTCCGCTATTAACTTTTAGATTAACATAATTCTGAAAGTCTTCCTTTGTAATTGGAAAAAGCTCGTCAGTGGAGTTTAATGTTTTCAATTTTTTCTGCACGTTTTCGTAATTTTTGACCCCCTGCAATGGTTTGGATTCCTCATATTACAAGACGCTTTGGGAAGATAATAAAGGACTCTAAAGAGAAAAGGATGAACTTTTCAACTTGACCGAGTGTCTTCAATAAAAGGGGTATTTGATCTATTAAAAGCTGGAAACATTTAATTTTATAGAAAATATTCATAAAATGTATATTTAGAGATCGTCACGAACATCAAAAACAATATTTTTCATTGTATTTAATCAAACTGGTTAATTTAAAAAAACGGGGTTTAATTTAAAAAAAACAAGGGAAAAAACCCTATGTTTTATATGTGAGACCTTTATATTCATTTTATTTGCTACAGGTAGACAACTTTGTGTAATATATGTATTCATAGTGCATATAGTCAATTTTATATTTGAACCCTTTTTTTTTAATATTCAACTTCTGTAGACACACCCTCTTAGGGACCATTTTCCAAAAATATGCATTTAAAGAGAATGTGCGTTTATGGGGCATTTTGCTAAGAGTTTTCTGTATTTCTATTTGGTGAGATGCGTATATATCCAAAGTGATTTCATGTTCAATTAGATATATGTTAAGGTCAGGTTTTGATAATGCAAGATTATGTGATAACTGTTATGTAACATAATAATAAATTTTGTAATTTATTTTGTACATATTTAGGGGACGTCTAAAGCGGAGGCAAATCATGTGATCAACCGCCAATCAAATTATAGAATTTTGATGATCGTCGGCGAAG